GCCAAACTAACAGTGACTATTGGAGTAAGAGTAAATATGTTAGTTAAATGTACCAAGTTGTATGATGTTGAAAGTTGCCATGCTTTAATGAAAGAGGATTCTAGAAAAGGTGTGCTCATCTAGTTTCCTTTGAACATACGATCAAATTAAAAAGTGAAATCAGACCATTTCTATAACGTGAAGACTGTGACCAAAATAAAAGCCAAACTATCTTAGCATTCATACGTACGATTAATTTATAAACTGGGTGAGTTTTCTAAGTGTTATTTATAGCCTGTCTATTAATACTGAGTTGAGGAGGTTTGGTCTAACCTTTCGCATTTATAGACCAGTCTGAAATATCCATGATGGCAAGATCAGAATCAAAACAAATTTTTTTAAATCTTTGGCTCTCATTACTGGAGTCATTTAGAGTTATTATTGCAATTTTCCGTTTCCTCTACTATTTAATAAAGTTCACAAGAATTTATCAAAAGAAAAAGACAAGATATTCAGGAATGTGAAAATTATATCTCGTGCTAAATGCTGAAAGGGATGATATTCTTATGTTCAATAAAAGCCTAAAGACCACATAAAAATAGGTCACAACTCTAAAATTATAGTCATAGTATTTGGAGTACTCCAGAAAATCCTGATTGAATGAACTCCATAGGCATAGTTGGATGCTCTTTAGAAGGATATATACGATCCTAGTGTCAGACGCCCTGTTAGAAATAATTGAGATAACATATAAGGAAAAAAGATGGGAATCAACATTTCTAGAGGAGCTTAAAAGATTGTCATCAGCGCGACGTGAGTATTGAAACCAGGATCCGAATAGATAAAAAAAACTTTATCTTAATCTCATCTACGACTCAAGGATGTGTGTAATGAAAGGATCGAAGTAAAAACTTCTTTAAGGGACCCATTATTGCCTCAAAAATATATTAAGGGAAAAATAGTTCGAGCTTATCAGTAAATAATGGCTCAAATCTAGGTTTACTATTTTCAACATCCGAGGAATTAGATAAAGCAGGCTTCTAAGTCTTGACGAAATCGGCCAAATTGACTTTAGATCGTCATTTCTGAGGAATTTGGCGAATAATATGCATATATGAGGCACGAGGCAAAGCGATGCTAACAATTGCAGCCTGATATGATGCTCTGACCAAGTTGTGAAAACAAGGTCGAACCAACACAATTGCAGCTTGAGTTGCCATAACAATTATCAGTAGTTAGAATACAATGCTCAAAGCAAAAGTATCCAAAATATAGAATAGGTTAGTGACTGAAGATAACTGAAGATATTAGAGCGAGATTCTAGAACTCATTTAGAAATTTAGAAGAATGGAGTTTTAATCAACAAAGAAATCTGTTCCGATGAGATATAAATAATAGGAAATACGAAATCTTGCTATCATAATCCTAATATAGGATAATGTGTAGAATACGAATAGAGAGCAGTAGCTAACCCGATCGCGCCCAAGTGTCCGATGCCCCATGCAAAGGTGCATTACTCATGTGACGCATCTCCTGTTCGAGTCGTCGCAGCAACTGCTCAGCATCCGCATTGCCACCGGTACTACTAGCATGTGAATGGTATAGATGATGATGGTCACCGCCAGCTGATGAACAAACACTAATAGCATCATCAGTGTCAGTGTCTAGCTCGCTGGATTCGGGAAAATTGACCTGAGCACTGCCAAATCCAGGCAAAGGGATTGGCGGTGGAGGCAAAGAAAGCGCAGCTGCGTTGAAGTCAGGGGATTCAGTCCCCACATCTTCGATCAGTTGAAGACTGAAAGTCAAAAATGTGAGAAAATTAAGATTCTCTTACAGAATAATTTCGTCATGGACCAATAAAAAGATAAATAATAAACATATTAATGGAACAAATGGATAAAATCTATTTAAAAAGATTATATACGAGCAAAGCAAAGTAGAAAATGGCTCTCAAATATAGGTATTATTCTTTAGGTTAGCCATATTTCCCAAGTGAGATAAAGCTAAATTGGCGAGTAACCGAGAGATAATTTGAGAACAAAAGGCAGTAAAATGGAAAAAAGGATGGATGTTGTGGCTAAGCTTGGTCATAAATATCACTAACATGATCACCGTTGTTAATGAGATCGTGATAAGGCAAAAATAATATAAGAGGAAAATTAAGTCTAATGTCGTGCCTTGTCATTCGAACATAAAGCAAAATTTGAGAGAATCTTAGGAAACAAGGTTTGTCTTGATAGAAGTGCGACCACACCAGAGGCTACAACATCTTGGTCTTCATATATTCAAGGTTTGTCTTGTTTGGCTTGAATGCTAGTGCCTTATCAAAGAAAAAAGAGGATAAGAGTTTTTGTAATTACGCAGATAGTCACTAACAAATTTAGTGAACAACCACGATTACTAAGCAATTCTGACAGCGAAGGATAAAAAAAACCCGTAAAGTAAAGAATGTAAGATGCATATTTGATGTGCCAATAATGACAATCCGGAAAAATATCATAGTATATAAGAGCTCAATGCTAGATCATCTTTGCAACAATCCAGAAATTTGCAATAATTGACAGCCGTTTTTATAAAAATTATCCTCCTTGCCTAGATATGAGCAAAGACAATTAATTGGGCCGCAGACTCGGAAATATCTAGATGACTAAAACGGAATTGATTGTCTGTATGCCAATTGCTAACAAAAATATGACACGTTAGAAATCATTTTTGAGTAATAGTAATAACGCAGATCAATTGTCTAAATCTCCTTCATCTTTGCCATTAATATATTAAACTCAACATCTAGAAGAAAGAATATTAATTCACTTGAATGGATTCTTGACTGGTATATTCTCATTATGATGACATACGAAAAAGGATAGTCTTAAGGGAAGCTATCTGCCCAAAAAGAATAAATTTTTCTATTGTGCTTCCGCACATGCAACCTATGGTAAAAATAAGGCCATTTAATAAGGTCGCGGTTTCCTTTTGCTGTAATGAGGTGATTTGACCCCGTTTTAACAACTTGGTCGTATTGTCAGGCAAACCTAGAGCAATACATTTTGACCGAAGTCCATAGTATCCATGACTATATCAAGTGGCAGATCGTGTATTTGGGACAAGCATAATCCAAAGAAGCGAAATAATACAAATTATTAATAACAACGGCGCCATTTTAAGTAAGATTACATTGCTCATAGGATTTAAACGTGTTTAATCAAAAGTGTTGTTAAATTTAAAAATGATTTTTATAATTATTAAACTTGATATTTTTATTTGCTGAATTCACAACAAATGGCATTAAATATGCAGGGCTCATATGATTACAAATAGCAAGGAAGTTGTTGTACTGTAGAATCAGATTGATGGCAAGGTCATTTTGGTACTCTGCAAACAAATAGATGAACAAAAGATTTTGCAATTAA